AGCCTCGTGCCCTGTGATGGACTGGCATCCCGTCCAGGGTGTACCCCAGCCTCATGCCCTGTGATGGACTGGCATCCCATCCAGGGTGTACCCCAGCCTCGTGCCCTGTGATGGACTGGCATCCCGTCCAGGGTGTACCCCAGCCTCATGCCCTGTGATGGACTGGCATCCCATCCAGGGTGTACCCCAGCCCCGTGCCCTGTGATGGACTGGCATCCCGTCCAGGGTGTACCCCAGCCTCATGCCCTGTGATGGACTGGCATCCCATCCAGGGTGTACCCCAGCCCCGTGCCCTGTGATGGACTGGCATCCCATCCAGGGTGTACCCCAGCCTCATGCCTATGGATACACTGACGAGCTTCTTCAATTGAACTTTCTGCATGGATGTACATTACGTCACAATGAGTTGTCTAGGTTCTAGATCTTTTTCCTTTAATATTTAATCCTAGAGCATGATGGAGGACTCTGGTACCTGCGGACGGCTAAGCTGGCAGTGGCAGTTGCCATAATAAGGAGCAGGCCGAAGGGGTGGACAGGGAGGGAGCATGCGGAGTTCCTGGCCAGCAGACTCCACTGTGAGGACAACGACTGGAAGGCCAAGGCCCAGGGGCTGCAGGAGGAGGTGCTTAGACTGCGGCAGGAGCTCCTCCTCAGCAAGACTCGGGCGGAGATCACGGGGAGCAGCGTTGCCGGTGGGTACATGGACCAGCCACCTGGGTGTATTCTATACACAGGAAGCTTTCAGGGAGATTACGTAAAGCCTTTGGACAAAGCTGTTTAATACATATGTATTGGCAATAGATGTTACACTTAATATTTGTCAGTAAGGTTCGCAGAGGTACAAATTTACATATGAAAGCAACATTGTGTGGCTGTACTCACACAGAACGGTCTGTGTTTTATTCTGCCAACAGTGCAGCTTAAACTTTGTGAGCAGTTGGGTCTGAATAAGAGACATATTCACCCATGCATCATATGTGGTTTATAATACTTGTCGTTAATCGCAAAATAGGTTTGTTTCATAATTTCTTAAAAAAAAAAGAGAACCTGCCACCTATTCTCTCATTTAAGGGTCCAATTGAAATCTCCCTGAGAGCAGATTAATGAGTTTCGACATCATTGGCACAAAGTTGCCATGGGGACAGGTTTATAAATAAAGAAAAATATTATTCAAGCGAATGTGACTGAAACGAAACAAAATGCATAATGATACCCAGTGACAATTTATATTAAAAGAAAAGCTTGGAATCTTTTTGGGCTTTGGGAATTGGATGGGGTTGTAATTTGAGGACCGTTGTTGTCGCAGGAGAGATTTATTTACTGACTTGTTGTGGGCTGATAAATTACGGCTGGTTGATTAGCATGCAGTGTACAGATATTTTACCCACAATCCTGTACTGGGAAAGCAGCTGGAAGATGGACGGGCAGGTACTCAGAAATTCAGATCTGTGCTAATCGTTCAGCTGTTTTGTTCGTAGAAATGATCTGAGGTGGTTTTATGCATAACACAGGAGATCCTCCGATGGATGGGCGGTCCCAGGCAGCTGAGGAGTCCATGCGGATTAGCGGCCCCTGGGAAGGTGACTCCGGCTTTGGGACAGGCAGCAGCGTGGAGATGCTGCCCCTGGGCGCGGATGCTGAGGTGTCCCACGCTTCGCATTTTTCTCTGCCGCCTGCCCGCTCCTTCAGCGCATTGCCATCTGAGCGGTCCTGTGCCGGAAGTCATGGTCGCTCCATGGACATAGCTATGCTCCATCACACGCAATTCCTGCACAGCCTCGTCGGCCTGGGCCAGCCGGCCGATAGCAGGGACCTCCCCGTGGTGACAGACGCGCTGTGCCAGCTCCTCTCCTGCATGGTTGAGGCCTGGGCCGACCCCCGGCTCCTCCCGCCGCCGTCGCTGATCCTTCGGGCTGCATGGGTGGTTGCCCAGGCGCTGGAGTTCCTGAGCGGGCCGGCATGCGTCGAGCTTGTGGGACGAGCGGAATCCTGCCTGAAGGAGCTGACGGCTCTACTGCTGGGCAACACGCGGCTCAACTGGGTAAGAACCGCCGCTCTCACGCTCTCGCGCTCCAGATCCTCTCAGCTGAGGCGGGACGCTCCGATAAGATGAAGGGATCATCCAGCAAGTTCTTCAGCACGAGGGCTGAGTTGTGCAAAAAAGATTATTAAAAACCAGACGTATAGTGGGATATTATTGAAATAATTACACATGATACAACATGCTTATAACTTCAAACTTCAGCCATGATACCAGAAGACAGAATCACACTTCATTAGTAAATAAAAAAATATAAACTAACCTTATGCCGGTGAAAAAATTAAGCTTTAAGAATGAAATGATACTATTAACGTTTCTGACAGTGTGACTCACCCGAAATATTTGCCATGAAACTATTTTTGACGTCCTTGTCGACAGCACTTAATTTAAAATCCTGCGTTTTTATGACCTTTCATGCAGAACTGTGCTGTTCATCCTCAAATGAAGAAGACAGGGAGTTATCAGTGTCCATCTTAGAATGTTATTTTGACTGTTCAGGATTCATAACAGATCTATATGATCTTTCAGACTCATTTTGATAATTATACTTCCGCCTTGTTATCATTAGATTATTGTCATCGAAAGAATTTATAGACAGTAAAAAAAGTAATGCGAAAAAACTGCTTCACTGATGGGACTTTCTGGTGTTTTCTGAAATCCAGCATGTGGTTTTCCTGCACTGTAATGCAACAATGAAAGTAAAAATGCCATTAACCCACAGTGGGTTTCATGTGGTTGCATATTACACTTGTAATTCTGAATGCATGTGTCCATCTTTTCTAGAAATGTACCTTTCTGTTGTGGAATGTCGGTTGAGGTCTTCATGTCCGGAATCTAGGCATTCTGTCCGCTGCCTCCTGATTTGCACTCCCTCTCTCTCTAACAGCTGCCTCCTGATTTGCACTCCCTCTCTCTCTAACAGCTGCCTCCTGATTTGCACTCCCTCTCTCTCTAACAGCTGCCTCCTGATTTGCACTCCCTCTCTCTAACAG